TTTTTTTGTACAATTACAGCTCAGCAAAAGGCTGCACGTATAGTTATTTCCTACTAAAGCCGTGGGAAACTAATTATCATTACTGGAATTAAATAATTAGCTGAAATGACCACAGTTTTTAGAGGACTCCAAGAACGCACTGAAGTACCAAACACAATATTTTTTAGGCTGCTTAGATTCATTTTTTTATTACCTCTGGCTTCTTGAGTATTTGGATGGAGTACATGTGGTTCTTCATGGGGTATATGACGATCAACACGTCCCCAAATTCAGTAGGGATGATCCCTCGGCGGTAGTCTCTGGAATGTTCAGACCAAATGATGTGGACTTCGTCGTTGCCCAGGTGTCGGAGCTGGAGCGTTGGGAGGCGGAGGATGGGGGGATGGGGGGGTAAAGATTGATGGGAAGGAGCAGAAGAGTGAAGGGGGATTAATAATCTGACCAAAGCAGAACAACACTGTGAAATCATTGGTTACAATGCAAACAAAATACATGCGCAGAGATAGTTTCGCAAATAAACGGTATAGGCTGAATCCATCAAAAGCCAAGGCTTTTGGATTTGGGGTGCATGTGCATGGTACAGGTGGCCCTGGGAATGATGGAGTGACTGGGAGAAGATGGAGAGTCGTCAACCAGACAGAGTGAAGCCCTGGGAAGATGGAGTACAAGCTGGAAGACGGATGGGATCATATGTGACGCTGTGAGCAGGTTCCAGTCAGAGCTGGTGACAGCGCCGTCATTAACCTTGATGTCTGCCAACACACACACACACACGCACACACACAGCTTGCTCTCTTTACTTTTCAGGTTTGTCAAACACCCTCAGATTGATGTCAGTCTAGACTTTGGCCCCCGAGAGAAATAATGATGCAATTTCCTTTCAAACATTTAAACTTTATTCCCATATTTATTCCTTTAAGTCCAGATTATTTCCTTCATGTTTTGTTCCAAAGTATCAGACATTCTTGTATGTTAATACAAGAATGCTTTTTGATCAGAGCAATCATTTTTGATTTTAGGAGGGTTTTTTTAATGAGTTTGTCTTTGAACTGTAGTCAGTTTTCTTTATTAAACATTATTTGTCCAGTAGCTGACAATTTTAAAGATATTTTTTATGAGACATTTAATTCTGATGTGCTCAACATTTATTTTCTTGCTTTTTCAACATCAGCTCAAATGGCTTCAGCAACAGCATGGGTTGCATACAACATGCAAACTGCCTTTTTTCTACTTGTGCACTCAAGTTAAGAGTCCTCCACATCTTCTAAACTCTAAAAGCTTATATTTTTCTTTAATACCTTTTCAGCAATGGTCTTATAATGTCAATGAATGCATAACAAAAAAAATTAAAGAAAAATATGCGCAGGATCATTCCATTTTTGCTTTTTTTTTGGGAGGTGAAACTTAAACGTTTCCAATCATCAAACTAATTTTAATAACAGAAAAAGTTACCCGAGTAAATATAAACATCTTTCAAGTAATTATTTTATTAATTAAGTGAAA